TTGTGTGAATCTTTAGGATTTCTTATGCAATCCTCTCCTTACATATGGCACACAGTTTGAGTTTGTTTGAATCAAGTTCAGACAGAAATTGAAAGATTGGACGTATCTGGGGGACCGAGTATAAATTACGGAATCAAGTGAAAGGAAGACACTTCGAACAAAAAGAGAAGAACATTGAACTGCTCCATGAAATATTCGCACAATAAACATTTAAATATTCGGGAAATTAAGAGGGGATGGAGAGGAGATAATAGGCAACGAGTTACGTTATATCAATCCAAACGAACGGACATTCTCGATAGATTACTCATAGTGTGGCAGTTTCTTGGAATGAAAAGTGGAATAATGAATGACGGCGCCATCAGACAGACAATGTCGTGAATATATGACCACTTGAATTTTGTAGCGTCAACGAGTCGTCGTCACTGAAGTGGATGAAAACAATTTGAAGAAATTATTACATTGTGAACAAGCAACATACATAAAAACAAATGAATGAATGCATAATAACTGAGTGTGATTTATTCAGATTTCAAATGACAAATGCACAAAAATCTTTACATAAAGCAGCAAGCATATCGATAGAGGCTTCAGGAATGCGCCGCTATCACGGTCGACAACAAATATGACACAACCAATAAAGGCTTACCGTTATTTTTTTGGATATGATTTGTAGGCAGAATACGGACACATAAAAGAATACAGCTGATGGTTCCTTCCCGATAGGAGTGATTAAATATTAAACTTGCGACAATGAAAATGCTTCTTTTATGGTATCAAGGAACTGAATGGGGATAATACCTTAGGAACCGTGAACGAGTATTATTTATGCAAGCTTTGGACCGGGTGCAATCATAGTCGTTTGGGTAGTGCGAGCAGAGCAGAACGGAATTTCACCCGGTCTCGCCATGAACCGATTGAACAATAATGATACAGGCTTCGGTTCAGATGAACGCAGAGTTTCTGCCTCTGTTATCTCGTTAATTCCCATCGATTCTGTACGATCTCGACCTTTAATACCAATAAATGTTTGAGCGTTAACACAAAATTCCTCTCATTTCTACAGCCAATCAACTAACCATCGGCACACCACGTACCAGTTTGTGCCATGAACATGTATCATTGATCATTTAAAAAAACGTTCATTCAGTACACTCTAGAAACGATTGCTATTGCTTATGGTGGCAATAATGGCAATGATAAGACATAGGTAAGATAACAACGGAAATATCTAATTATCTCTGATTTCCCATCATCATCAATTATCGCTAGTATCGAAAACAACAGCAGAATACAAACAAACATAATGATAAACAACTGTCGAAGAGCATAAGTCTGGATTATATGAAATAAATCACACGAGAAAATGAGTACAATTAAACGATGACCACTTTATCAAATCGTTTTCGATCGGAGATCAGCAACAAAAACGAATCGGTTACAAGATTATTATATCACAGCTACGGCACTGATGTCGTTTTTCAATGTTCTTCTGCACTTTAATCCAATTTTACATGGTAACGGTGTTATCTTATCAGGCGTGTGACTTGTGTCCAGTGTGATTATGACAGCATCGCCTGACCACTGATAAAACGATAATCGCTGATGGTGCGTTTCTCGATACGACGAAATGCTATGCCACACACATGCTTGTATTGTATGCATATGTAAGCACTTATTACCTTGAACAATATCTTACTTTTACATAAATATTTACAGGCATCATCGCCTACACTGCNTTCGCGCAACATTTCATTCGTTTCTCTCCGAACCATTCTGCATCCAGCATTCCGCACCATTTATCATTTGCTTCGTTGTTTTTAAAATTTTATTTGAGGCAAAGACTCGCGTTCTCGACGCCCTATAGTCCACCCGTATAAACATTAGTCTGCCATCATTCGAAAAGCACGGATCAAGGGAGAGAACTGGCAATTTTTTTTTCGAATCTATCTTTATCTATTTCGTAACAAGTGTACTTAGCGAGTGTGCCATAGCGTAGTGGTAGTGTACCGCGTTTTCTCTAAAAGGGTAGGGTTGTAACCATGGTCTTGAATGTTTTGGCTTTTGGCACTTTTGACATTCTGGTTAATTTGCTGTACAGACAATCAATTACTTAATTTCAAATATTTGCTATGAAACACAATAACAGAACAGGGATAATTGCATTGTTGTCCTGAATGAACTAAACCTCAGATGCCTTGATTATCTGCATTCACAATGTCAAATTTCATTCTTCCATCGCTTCGATCAACGTCAACAAAAATCCGGAGAATTATGTGGAGCACCGAATTATGTTAATCATTACATCAACCAGTCATCGAGCTACATTAATTATTGCATCAATAATCATCGAGTTGTATCCGTTATATCGACATTATATCTCTCAAAAATCTAGTCATATTAATCAATATATCAGTCAGTCGAGTCATAATGACTATTGTATCAAGCAATCATCAAGTTTTATCAGTTGTATCAAAATTATATCAGTCAAAGATCAAGCATCGAATCATAGATCTCGGACGGTCAAATTATTGCAATATCGAGTTATCGATAACGAACATCCGTTGCTTCCACCGCCGAACAGTCACGTCTATTTCATCCATTCGTTTTCTTATCAGATGTTGAAGATTTGTTAATTGCACATTTTTTGTGAAAATTGCGCGATTGAGAGGAAAACTAA